CAAACCATAATTAATCTCACTCAAAATTCAAGCCTAAATTGCTCATGTAACGAAAAAAAATGGATAGTTAAAAAAAAAAAAAGAACTCCTCCAGTTGTACTTGAGCATGCAACACTTCTATGGTCAACATCTTCAGTACAAATAATTCAAGCAAATAACTTCAGGTGAAATAGTGATTTTTCGGAATTTGTGAATTATAAAGTAGACCACAGTGCACTAATATACAATAAATCCATTCTATCTTTTATTTACTTGCAACTATTTGGCTTTAATTGTTCAATAGTATTTCACTGATTATAGAAAGTAACTCTTTCTGTCCTTCCAATTTGCCCTTATATACTTTGGAATAAAATAAAGCAGTTGACACCAGATTGAGGAGTCAAGGCTATTTTATTCACCCATTCATTCATAATTGTTGGTAAGATTTCTTTTTTATATGGGTTGCTGTAAATGTCAAGGTTTTAAATAAATTCTGTGCAATTTAAATGTTTGTGTTTTTTTGTTAACATGTTACTGCTCTGGAAATGCACTTGATGTGAAACTCTGGAACCAAACAATTCCAAAGGAGGTTTTGTAGACAAATTCATGGGTCTGGTGTGAACATGCTTAACATGTTGATGGCCATGTCTAGGTACTATTCACAATTTGGAGCAGGGGAATTTTGGATATAACTTGAATTAAGCATGCTTCAAAACCCAGTCAAAACTGTTCAAGTGAACACATGACCCATCAGATGTTTAATTATTAGTATTACACTAAGCCAAATAGCTTGCCTTACTGATTTTATTTAAAATTAAAAAAAGTATTTCTCCTCAAGTTGCCTCCATTTCCAGTCTCTCCACATTTCATAATGATGGCAGAACATCTCTGCATACTATAAAATAATGAAAATAATAATGATATTCCCCTAAACTACTTAACATGTTACACGAACATCTCTGCATGGTATACAATAATAAAAATAATAATATTTAATAATAATAATCATAACAATAATACTAAAGTAAGAGAAAACTTAAGCAGAAGAAAACCATAAATCACTCACAAATTCTGCATACCTAATAAGCAGCATCTTTGGGAGGCTTGAGGAGCTCATACAGGACAAAATCTTTATCATCTGGTTCACTGGCTGTAAAAAAGTACAACAATGCTTTCTTTAGCAAATAACAAAAAACAAAAAGGTTTATACAGATGAATAGTTATGGAACAATATTGCAAAAAACTCATTTATTAATTACCTTGAATACTGTTTTCATTTGACAACTCTGTGTCTTTGTCCAATTGTTTAATGTCTAATGAGGGAAG